AATAATAAAAAAATTTAAAAAAGAATATAAGATTAAAAGTTACACACACAATTGTTATCATTAAAGGATCTTTTGGAAGTGGATTATAATTGACTTATTTTTCTCTAGGCAAATTTCACAAATTGCTTAGAACTAAATCTAAGACTTTGATATGCTTGCCAGCTTTATAAAGGTGCCTTCTGTGACTCCCTGCACATAAGTAGTTTGGGTTTGTTGTTTTTTTTAAAAATTAAACAATTAGAATATTCTATATTATAGTATACTTTCTTTTTGTTGGTGCGGTTGTTCTGTTTAGGTGTATGTGTTTGGAACTTGTAACAGTATGCGTGTTGTTGTTAGGTGCCACTGAGTCGAGCACAACCCATAGCAACCCTATTAACAACAGACCTGAACCCTGTTCTATCCTATCCTGTGCCATCCTCAAACTTTCTGACACTCTAGCTCCCATTGTGGCAGTCACGGTGTCAATTCATCTGGTCAAGGGTCTTCCTCTCCTTCGCTGACCATCTACCTTTCTGAGCACATCATCTGAATTCTTTTTTGTACTTTTGTATGGTAACATTTAGGCTGTTCCCAGGTGTTAATGTCTGGGCAATGTATCAACATTAGTGACACATTAAAAAAGCCCACACAAAAGATTTTGTCCGTATGGGTTGTGTAAGAAGAACATTTCTGTAATCCTGGGATGGCTCATCGTTGTTTTTTTTTTGCTTTGTTTTCTTCTTTCCTCCCCTCCCCCCATCCAGGATCTTTCAGCGAGGTTGATGAATATCCAGTCCCAAAAGGCACAATTCCTCATCACCTTCAAGACTGTGGAGGAAATCTGGAAGTTCTCTACTTACCTGAAGTTAGGTATGACATAGAGCAAGCGGGTGAAGGAGTAGGTACTTAACATTTCAGTCAATTTGTAGAATTCAATATATCTTGATCTTGTTCAGACAGAAGAAGAAATTTTAATTACTTGAAATAATTTTTTAAATACAGGTATACCTTGAAGATCGTACAACTTCAATTTCAGACAATTGGAGTGTAATGAACATTATCATAATTTGAGTCACATAAATTCTTTGTTTTCTCATTGCATATAAAATTATACTTGCACTATAGTGTAGTATAGTGAGTGAGCAACAACACAATATGTTGCTGTTATATATTGTTTAGTCAGAACCAGCCCATAGCTAACCCTGTATGGGTTTTCAGAGGCAGTAAATGACACCGGAGGTGACTGCCCATGTTTCTCCTGCAGAACAGCTGATCGATTTGAACCACTTTCCTTTAGATTGGTAGCACAACACCTTACCACTGAGTCATCAGTGCTCCCAAAAACTTATAAGGAGGTTGAAAGTATTGAGAATTATGAAAATGTGACACACTTACACAAAGTAAGTACATGCTGTTGGAAAAGTGGTACAAATAGACTTGCCATGAACCTTCAATTTGTTAAAAGAAAACCAACAACACCCCATAAAACCCCAAATACAGTATCTCTGAAGCATATTAAAGCAAAGCACAATAAAATGAAGTATCCCTCCTTGTGTCACACATGTTGTTGTTATGTGCCGTCGAGTCGCCTGCGACTCATAGCGACCCTATGTACAACAGCCCTAAACTCCGCTCTGTCCTGTGCCAATCGCACTGTCTCCGACACTCCCATCCCAATTATCCCAGTCACTGAATCAATCCACCTCATAGAGGGCCTTCCTCTCCTGCGCCGTCTCTCCACCCTCCCAAGCATGATGTCCCTCTCCAAGGACCGGTCTCTCCTCACAACATGTCCAAAGTAGCCTAGAAATAAATCTAAAGCCACAACTGGCTATCTTCGGGAGACTCAGAGGCCCAGCAAGGAAAGGATGGAGTCAAAACTACTGTCTTCTTGGTACTTCCAAGGAAGATTCTCGATTATATGAAAAGAATTATATGAACGAGAATCAATTGTAATGATGCAAGGCATTGGTAAAAAGTAAAGCCCCAGGAATCAACAGGATACCAACCGACATGTTTCAACTAACAGATGCAGCCCTGGATGCCAAAAAATTTGGAGGCTGGCTGCCTTGCTGACTGGCTGAAAGAGATCCATATTTGTTCCTTTACAAAGAAAGGTGATCCAACAAAATGTGAAAATTACAAAACAATACCATTAGCATCACTTGCTATTAGAATCACTTGCAAACAAAATCTTGTTGATGATCATTTTGATATGGCTAGAAAGTACATTGACAGAGAACTGCCAGAAGTCCAAGCTGAGTTTTGATAAGGCTATGGCAACAGGGATGCCAATACTGATGTCATGTGTATGTGGATGAAAATAGAAAATACCAGAAGAATGTCTATTTTTTGCTTTACTGACAATGCAAAGGCATTAGACTATGTGGATCATAACAAATTATGACCAACACGGAGAAAAATGGGAGACCCAGAACACTTAATTAGGCTCATACAAAACCTATATCTACACCGAGAAGCTGTTGTCTGAATATAGTAAGAAAACTGCCAGACTTAAAATCAGGAAGGGTTTTATCCTTTTCTCATACCCATTCAATCTGTATACTAAGAAAATCATTTGAGAAGATGGACTCTATGAAGAAGAATGTGACATCAGGATTGGAGGCAGACTCATCAAAAACCTTTGTTATGCAGACGATACAACCCTGCTTGCTGAAAGTGAGGAAGAGTTGAAACATTTGCTGCAGAAGGTCAAAAGCAACAGTCTTCATTATGGATTACATCTCAACATCACGAAGACAGAAACCTTCACCACTAAATCAATAAGCAACATCATGACAGATGAAGAAAAGATTAAAATTATCAATGATTCTATCTTTTTTAATCTGCAATCAATGTCCTCAGTACCAGGAGACAGGCAATCAGGAGACATATTGTACTGGGAAAGTCTGCAGTCATGGACCTTTCCAAATTGCTGAGGAGCAGTGATGTCAGTTTGAAGACTAAGGTGTGCCTGATATAGGCCATGGTCTTTTCAGTTATTTGCTGTGTCTCTGAGAGCTGGAGAATGAATAAGGATGACAGAAGAAGAAATGATAACTGTAAACGATAGTATTAGAGAAGCGTACTGAATATCCCATGGACTGATACATCTTGGAGAAAACATAGCCAGAATGAATGCTACTTGGAGGGGAAAATGACAAAACTTCATTTCACTTGCTGCAGTCATGTTTCTAGGAGAGGCTATTCCTTGCAGAGGGGCATAGTGCTTGGTAGGGTGGAGGGCCGACAAAAGAAAGGAAGACCTTCAACCAGTACAATTGACACAGTGACTGCAGCAATGTGCTCAAGCATGTCAGAGATAATGAAGATGGCACCAGACAAGACAGGGTTCAGATCTGTTGTTCATAGGGTTGCTGTGAGTTGTACTCAACTTGATGGCACCTAACAATAACAACAAATCTAAAGCAAATGTTACCTGTTGTTTAGATATTATTTATGGTTAAAAGAAGAAAATAATGAAGAGTAAGATACAGTTATTACATCAGGATTGATGGAAGATTCATCAACAACCTGCGTTATGCAGATAATACAATCCTGCTTGCTGAAACTGAAGAGGACCTGAAGCTTTTCCTGCAGAAGGTCAAGGACTGCAGCCTTCAATATGGATTGAAGCTCAACATCAAGAAAATAAAGATTCTCACTACTGGGCCAATTGGCAGCATCAATACAGATGGTGAAGAGATTGAGACAGTCAACAGTTTTAATGTGGTTGGTTCCATAGTCAACCCTCTTGGTACCAGCAGCCAGAAATCAAGAGATGACTTGCACTGAGAAAGTCAGCTGTCAAGGACCTCTCCAGAGTACTGAAGAGCAATGACATCAGGCTGGACTCTAAGGTGTTCCTGATCCCGGCTATAGTCTTTGCAGTTGTGTGCTATGCATCAGAGAGTTGGACAGTGACTAGGGATGATAGAAAGATAATTGATGCCTTTGAACTGTTGTGCTAGAGAAGAGTGTTGAATATACCATGGACTGCTAAGAGAACATCCTGGAGAGGGTGAAGCTGGAATGATGCTTGGACTCAAGGATTCTGAAGCTTCGTCTGACATACTTTGGGCATGTTGCAAGGAGGGACTGGTCCTTGGAGAGGGACATCATGTTTGGAAGAGTTGAGGCACAGTGAAGGAGAGGAAGACCCTCTATGAGATGGATCGATTCAGTGATTGGGGTTGTGGGACTAGGTGTGTCAGAGACAATGAGGTTTGCAAAGGACAGAGAAGGGTTTAGGGCTCTTGTACATGTTGTTGTTGTTATGTACCATCGAGTTGCTTGTGACTCATAGCAACCCTATGTACAACAGTCCTAAACCCTGCTCTATCCTGTGCCAATCACACTGCCTCTGACACACCCATACCGACTACCCCAGTCACTGAATCAATCCACCTCATACAGAGTCTTCCCCTCTTGCGCCGTCCCTCCACCCTCCCAAGCATGATGTCCCTCTCCAAGGACCTGGCCCTCCTTACAACATGTCCAAAGTATGTCAGATGAAGTCCCAGAATCCTTGCCTCCAAGGGGCAGCCTGGTTTAACCCTCTCCAGGATGAATCTGTTTTCTTGGAAGTCCATGGTACATTCAATACTCTTCTCCAGCACCACAGCTCAAAGGCATCAATTCTCCTTCTATCCTCCTTACTCATTGTCTAACTCTCTGATGCATAACAAGTGATTGCAAAGACCATGGCCTATATTGGATGCACCTTAGTCTCCAGAGAGACACCATTGCTCTTCAGTACTTTGGAGAGGTCCCTAATAGCAGACTTTCCCATCGCAATACATCTTTTAATTTCCTGGCTACTGATGCTAAGTGTTGACCGTGGAGTCAAGCAGACTAAAGTTATTAACAATCTCAATCTCTTCACCATCCATCCTGATGTTGCCAGTTGGTCCAGTGGTGAGAATCTTTGTCTTCTTAACATTGAGCTTCAATCCACACTGAAGGCTGCAGTCCTTGACCTTCTGCAGCCAGCAATTCAGGTTCTCCTCAGTTCAGCAAGCAGGGTCGTGTCATCTGCGTAACACAGATTGTTGATAGATCGTCCACCAATCCTGATGGCACAATTCTCCTCATAGAGCCCAACCTCTCGGATAATCTGTTCTGCATACAGGTTGAAAAGGTATGGAGATAGGACGCATCCCTGGTGTATACCCTTTCCAATTTTGAACCATGCAGTGTTTCCTTATACATAGGGTTACTATGAGTCACAAGGGACTCGATAGCATGTAACAAAAACAAGAATAAGTTGGTGCTGTTGCTTGTTCAGGTGGTTTCCAATTCATGACTGAATCTGTTGTGCCCAGAGAGTTTTTGTTCAGTGATTTTTTGGAAGTAAATTTTCAAGTTTTTCTTCCTCATCTGTCTTGGACTAGAACTCTGATGAAACTATTCAGTATCATAGCAATACACAAGGCTTATATTGTCTCTAGCTAGTTAAATCCTAAATGCTTTAACTCCTATATTTGGAAAAGAATCAAAGAACGAGCTAGGGGAATTATTGTCCTATAGCAGCTTCAGGCTGCAGAGTTCTCCAGGGAAAAGAACTCATAATAGGAAAGTAATGGTTACAAAACAAAGCCAAGCTAAGTGGAGGGATGTAATTTTAGTCAACACACATTTACATCTCCCAGAGCCTGCTGGACTTTTAAGAAGAGAGTTGTGATGAGATTAGACTGGGGAGTCAAAATGCCTCATAGTTGGAAGCTGTAACTCTTCTTGTAGTTTTAGTGATATTCCAGTTCCTGCATCGCACACCTCTTGAGAACATCAGAGATCTTCACTAATTACAGTGGAGGCCACGATACAAAAGCATCGTGGAGCACCTTTTACAAAAGCTGAATCTTATGTCCCACTCCAGACCTACTGAATCAGTGTTTGCAGTTGATTTTTGTTCACATGAAAGTTTGAGAAGCACAATTACAGGTGATATATAAGACGTAAATCAGTATAATAGACTGGAAAGAGATGCTTTTTGTGATTGTTTGCTTTGCTTGGCATGATCTTATTTAAATGAAAATTTATGTGGCCTACTGACCACCAAGTCCACCTATAAATATGTAATCAGTTACTGTAAAGTCCATTTTGACACTTGGTGCCCAAACAGGAGTCAGAGTAGAACCGTGCTCCAGCAGAATCTTGTTGGCTTGACTCCTCAGGCTATGTGTCCACCTGTCTGGAGCATCTCCTCTTTGACCACGAGTACTGGCTCGACTGCAGCTTGGTGGAGGATACTGAGATCCAAGTCTCAATAGATGATCAACACCTGGAAGCAATATACCTGGGACTCCTGATACAGGAAGGTGAGCACGGAATAAGGGTGAGATGGGCATTATTTTTCTAGATATTTATTTCTAGAATTCTCCAAATTATTAAAGTTACAAAGGAGGAAATAAATCATTCAAAATGAATATGCTCACAAATGAACTGACATAATATTACTCCAAACACCCCTCTCAGTGTGACAGGGACATCCCATGAACAGCTATGTTCTTGCTAGTTGGTGTTAGAACCACTTACGGGATTTTAAAATGATGTTCCTGTGAGGTTCCTTGTGGAATGATTAGCTCTTTACCTGTGGGACCCAACAACAGTGTTTTCAGGCAGTCGACTAGGTAGTTCTTATTTGTATCCAAGACTGAGATCACTTTTCTAAACATGAGAAACAAGTCGGTTATAAAAATACATCTACGAAACTTGCAAAACCTGAAGGATTTCATGGAATTAAGGAAAGGGATGTTGGGGAACAGCTCAAAGAGCCTGTTAAACTGTTTACATGTGAGAATATCTGATCAAGGTTACAAGTGACCACTTAAATAACAAAAGCGGGAAAACCTGATGATATGTTGAAAGAGACTGATTTGCATAAAGCTCTAGAATTGTTTTTTAAAAATAATTCTATTTATGATTGCATTGAACATATGATACATAAAGGAAAGAGTTTCATACTGTTATAAAATTTATATGGAGGAATAGGAGAAATATTCATCCAAGTAGACATATTTATTTTTGGTTTGTTGTAAGATTGAGTGGGAGGTTGCAATGGTGACATAAGTTCTGTTTACTATAAACATATTTTTATACATTTTTGTTTTATTTTGTTTTCAAGGTAAAGCCCCAATCAAGCCTTGCTTTCATGAGTTACTACTCATTTTGATTCTTATTTTAAGTGCATTTTCCTGGCGCCAGCTGTCCTCGTATCACAAGGGCCTGTGTAATGTTTTCTCCTGGACCACCTGTATGGTCCTCTCTGAAAGAAACTTTGCATTGTGCGGTAGTCACTGTCACTGCCTGCTACCCTTTTTGGAAAGAGATTTTTCTTATTACCTACAGGCTACTTCTTCTGCAGAGCCATGTTCTCAGTGACTCAGCCAGATGAGAAGGAAGGCGAATGCTTAGCGCTTTGCAAGAATGAGCTAATCTCTGTCAAAATCACCGAAGAAGAGGAGTGGGAAGGCGTGTCCCTGGTGACCGGTCAGCGGGGTCTGGTGCCCATAGCAGCCCTGGAGCCCCTGCCACTTCCTTTCCACCAGTGAGTAACCTTTCACCTTCTGGAACGGGATCCCAGAGCAGCTTGAGGTCTGCACAGAAGCCAGGAATAGGTCTGCTGCCATTCATCTGCATCTAGTCAGTTACCCTCAAGTGGCGTCTTTTTGCGTGTCAGAGTATAAACGTGCTCCACAGGCGCTTTAGTGACGCATTTTTGAGAAGTCGATCCGAAGACCTACCTCCCTTCTGTGGAACTGCTGGGTGAACTTGAAGCTGCCAATCTTTTAGTTAACTATTTGCCTCCCCCAGATACTAGATGGTTCAAGAGGAAACAAATTAAAAATCTGGTCTTTCTAATCCTCTCTTATTCTAGTTAAGGTTAATACAATCTGGAAAGTTATAGAAAACTTTAAATTTCAGACGAGCACTCTAACTAGAAAACATAGAGACATCAAACACCCACTGCAGCATTTCTTAACGTCTAGCTAGAATTGCCTGGTAATCTTATTACAAGTTCAGATCTAGTCTTCCTCAGATCCACTATGCCTCTTTTTGATATGATTTGAATTCAGAAATCTACATTTTCAGTGAGTTCCTCCTATGATTTTTTAACATCAACATTTGAGAATCCTTGCTGAAATATAAACTCTAGTGTGCAGAGTGACAATAATATCACAGGAGACTGAGAACTCCTCCGTGTCTCTTACAGAGACTCTGACAGTGAGGTTATATGAACAGAGCATTTTTTAATTTTAATTTTAATTTTTTTATTTTAATGAAAGTTTACAGAGACTTTGGACATTCATTCATTGCTGCACACTTTCCTTCCTGCTCACCCTTCCCTCCAGTTCACTTTTCTCTTTGAAAAGTAAAAAAAAAAAAAATTCTTTCATTGGTATACAATCCTCCCTTCAACCCCCAGTCCACTTCACTATGCAGTTTTCATTCTGGACTCTTGTCATGACAATAATACCTAATCATAGATTCCTCCTAAACAGTTCTCTCCCTCATCTGTTTCATGCAGTAGAAATTATTAATCTCCTCTTAGTTTCCCCCCCAATCCTGGTGTCAGTCCTGCTTTACAACAGTGGCACTATGCAGTATTTGTCTTTTAGTGACTGAGATATTTCACTCAGCATCATGTCCTTCAGGGTCACCCATTTTGTATAATATTTCATGAATTCCTTGTTTTTCAATACAGCATAGTATTCCATTGTGTGAATATACCACAGCCTCTCTGTCCATTCATTTTTTGATGGGCATTTGGGTTGTTTCCAACTCTTTGCTATTGTGAACAAAGCCACACTAAACATGGATGTGCATATATCTGCTTGGGTGGCAGTTCTGTTTTCTTTAGGGTATATTCCCAGTAGTGGAATTTCTGGGTCAAATGGTATTTCTATTTCCAACTTTTTGAGAAAGTACCATACTGCCTTCCATAGTGATTGCACCATTTTACACTCCCAGCAACAGTGGATAAGGGTTTCTGTTTCTCCACAACCTCGCCAGCATTTGTTGTTTGCTGTTCTGTTAAATTTTGCTTTTCTTATTGGGGTGAGATGATATCTCATAGTTGTTTTGATTTGCATCTCTCGTAGAGCTAGGGATTTTGAACATTTCTTCATGTGTTTGTTCACCATCTGAATGTCTTCTTTGGTGAAGTGCATTTGTTAGTTTTTTTAAATGATAAACTACTTAAATAACTAGGAAGCATTCCAGACCTGTTGCACTTCTCTCTGTTCACAGTACCTGGTACAAACTGTCTTCTCAGTAAATATTTGGCATTGTTGTAATAAGAATAATAACAATAATATTTATCATCGGTGTTGGACTACTCAATAAGCAAAGCAAACCCAAGCTTACTTTTTTTAACTCTTTTTCAATTATTATTAATTTCAATGAACATCTACAGAGATTTTGGAATTCCATTCATTCATTGTTTTACTTTTCTCCCCACCCACTCATCCCCATCCCCACCCCTAGTTCCCTCTTCTCCTTGAAAAGCAAAAGAAAAATTCCTTCATTGGTACACAATCCCACACCCCCACCCTGCACATCCCCACTCCCACCCCAAGTATGCTCCACTCCCCAACCCTCATTCCGGACTCTTATGATAATCATAATTACCTAAAATATATTAATTTTAAACTATTCTCTCCCTCATCGGCTTCAATGCAGTAAACATAATTTATCCAGTTTTTCTCAGTCTTACCCCCACCCCAATGTCAGCCTCATTCTACAACAGTGGCACCATATAATACAAGCTTACTTTTTCTTACTTACTAATTAATAGTGAACAATTTTGGGTTTTTTTTCACCACATCAAATATTCTGCTTTTAGGTATGACACCTATCTCTCTGTCTATCTCTCTGTCCCAACCACACAGCATCTTTCTACAGAATCGAAACACCCTTTCAGGGCAGAGTACCCAATAGCTGTGGTGAAAAACATATGAGATTGTTCACTACAGATTAAGGAAATTCAAGTAAGCACTTGGTTACCTTGCTTATGGATAATGTGCCCCAGCTTATCAGCATAATCATTAGTTTAACAGTTTATTGTGCTGTTTTGACTTTTCAAACCCTTGTTTGCAAAGCCCATGTTTTCACTTGCAGATGGTTCCTGAAGAACTATCCAGGAAGCTGTGGCCTTTCCAGAAATGGAGATTGGGCGGGCTCTCATCAGATTGGTATGTCTGAGTGGAAGACAGTATTGTTAGGGAGAAGATATTTTACTGCTTCCTAATTTCATCTTTAAATTTTGAGTCAGCGGATGTAAGTTCCTGTTTCTCTTCTGTCTGGGCCTGGATTTAGGGAAGCTAGTTTTTGTCTGTGAACTGAGAGGACAATGGTCATCACCACCCAGAGAGGAGGGCCTGGATGGAACACATTAGGAAATGAAAGGGACAGGATTTATTTTAAAGTGTTTGGGAAGAAAATTAATACCTGCATAACTCCAATTAAGTGTTTTGTGAACTAAATATGGTTTACAGATAGCCTGCTTTCAATTTCTGGTTGAAATTCTAATTTCTTTTCGAAACGAACCTTAAATTTAGGAATTTATATAGTGAATATATATGTACACATGCACATATATGTACTATATGTTTTATATATTCATTTATTCGACTCATATTTACTGAGTACTCACTAAATGCCAGACATTCTTATTTTTCTACATTTAAGATTTTTACTGTGCTTTATTTAGGCAATTTACCCAAGTAATAAATTATATAGTCAGTTACAGAGTCTTCCATCCTTTTCTCTAGTGCCAGCAATTTCCCATTTCACTACTGATCACGAGGCTAACATTTGTGGAGTGTTGGATATATAGGAGGTATTAGACACTTTGGTTCTTTAAAATGTTCTTACTTTTTTAAAACATCTTTTAAAAATGTTATTACTGCCCTATTTTACACTATAAGGGCTATAAAGGCCAAAAGGGCATGAAATGGAATGTAAAGATCTTTTACATGTTGTTCCCATGCGGATCAGTGTCACATAGGATGAAGTGTTTATACTGTAGTGGCAAAACCAAACCAACCCTGGTAATGGTTTTTCATAGGTTAAATGTAAACTACCTGTAAGTCATTTCAAGTAGTCAGAGATGATCTTTCTTCCATTTGCTAAAATAGATATACTTTTTTAAAATATTAAGATCATCAATGCTCATTTGGTGTTTTAAAAAAGTCTTAATTTCATAAAATGAAGTTAATAACCCAGTGTCATTTCTGCAAATTAATTTCTAAAATTCTAGTAGCCCTTGAAATCTCAAAGTCTGGGAATCCTTCATTTCACATTAGATTGGAAAATAGTAGAAGACATAGTAATTAAGCTTTATTTAGTTGCCATGTACTATTTCCCCACAGGCAGAGGAAAATGCAAGGCCTTGAAGGGTTATGAGAAAAAAGAAGAGGATGAACTGAGTTTCTGCCAGGGAGAAAACATCGAGATCATAGGCTTTGTCATACCTGGGCTTCAGTGGTTCATTGGGAAGTCATACAGCTCAGGAGAAGTGGGCTTTGTTCCCACTAAGAACATAGATCCTGATTCTTATTCCCCAATGTGAGTATGCAGAGGCCTTCTGGAATGTCCTGGGACTGGGCTCCCTTCCCAGAGGTTGCTCCTCTCTGAGTAGACTTACAACAAGACTTCATGGATTTCCTGGTCATATGGAACCAGAGAAGCAAAATGAGACCACCCAACTTGGCAGAGGGATAAGGAAGACACGGGGAGTGATCAGGGAGTTTGTCAGTCCAGTTCATTTCAACAGTTGAACACTGAGACCTTTTTTATATGCAAGGAGAGGAGCACCACTCCAAGATACAAGACCTGAAGGTGCAGTTTTGATGTTTTTATCCTGCCAATCACCCTTTTCCAATGAGGGTCCCCACTATGGAGAGTATCTATAAAAGAGACCAATAGATAGCCACTTTGCTGAGTGGAGATTTCCCTAGATGTAGATGTCTGCTGAAAGATTAATTTGTAAGGATAAAAAAAAAGTCCATATTTCTACTCTTTTCTGCCTTGAATCAGAAGTTCTGGCTCTAAGGACTAGACTCTTCCACCTGAGTGACAGAGGGGCAGACCTTTGGAGTCTTGTCTGTTCTTGCTGGGTGGGCTTCCTACATGAAGATAGGAGACAAGGGGCAGATGGGCCCCAGCAGTAGAAGGAGAAGCACGGAGTTGTTTCTACTACTGAAGCTCTATTGCCCTCCACACCAGGTTTCTTAGTGCTGCTCTAACAGACACACTACAAGAGGATGGCTTTAACAAACATTATTATTCATTGCTCATTATTAGTATTCATATTATTTTATAAAATTTATTACAATTGATCAAATGCCTTTTATCATAACATTTCATCAAATCCTCATGGTTCTTCACATTCTTTTACACCCCC